GGCTAAAATTCCAGTATAATGACTGTAACTCTGGAGGGAAGACCCATCAGCACATAGCCTTTTGGGGTTATTTATACCTCGCCGAGGTCTATCTAATACACATGCTCCGAACTTGAAAGCGGCTTGACGGTACAAACCGTTCCATTGTCAGACCTCCGTAGGATTCTTAGTTATCACAAAATCGAGCCTAACCATATGCTGATCATCCAAGGGCCATGGGAAAAAAGGAAAAGTTGTCTTTTAAGCATATGACAGTAGACAGATGAGCATCTAATGAGAAAAATTATTTTTTCATTTTTGAATAAATTTTGTTTTTTCCGTAGTGGTGCAAATAAACATCGGGTAAATTATTTTTTTTTGAGCGCAGAGCACATAACATGATAAGAATTACAATATTACTATATCGCAAATATGCGTTGTATAGTTGCATCTTCAAATAATTATATCAAATGACGATTCCAATAATATTATGTTCATGTCACGGAACTCTGATTAGCATGAACAGTGCTGACTATTAGAAATTTAGAATACACAAATAAGTAAAAAACGAGTGATGCTTTTCCAATGTGTATGTGAATGAGATTTTCGTGACATTACCATAATATTATTAGAATCATCATTTGATATAATTGTATAAAGTTGAAACTTATACAATGCATATTTGCGATATTGATTAAATTTATTTATTTAAACTTTTAGAAAAATACAGGCGAATTTGCATCTGCTTGAAAGCTGTTTGTTAAGTTTTGTGTTCACACTGTTGGGGATACCTTGACTGTAGAGTAACTCAAAGTATAGGGATCATTTTGATTATACTGTTGTCGTTAATAAATCATTTTGATTTTTTATCTTAAGAAACATTTTTGGAATTCGTTAGTACGAAAGGATGATTTATGTAAAATATTAAGGTTTTCCAGAAGTCTTATCCTGTTATGTACTCGGTGCTCAAAAAATAATTTATCCGATGTTCATTTGTACTATTAAGAAAAAAAACAATTTATTCAATAATGATAAATAATTTTTTTCATTAGGTGCTCATCTGTCTACTATCGTGTGCTAGAAAAATTGGCATCATGAAAAAGAAGCTCTAGCATCAATAAAAGTACTGAACAATCTGAACTACTTTTGAGTTTTATTTATTTTTATTTTTGCAAACTAGGACAGCAGAGTTTGGAAAATCATTTTCTGCTGCTGAATGTTTCATTAATTTATTTGAAAGAAAACCTTTAATTGATAATAGTTCAACTAATGGAAAAAAACTCGTAATTATTATATAATATTTGTTTACTTATTTATGGTGTGATATTGATCTTGATTTCTATTTTTGAAGGACAATTTTAAGGGTAAATTAGAATTTAACAGAGTCAGTTTTGTTTATCCAACACGGCCAAATAGAATTGTATTGAGACAATTTAGTTTACAAATCAACCCCGGTTAGTTTAATATAATATTAGTTTTTAAGAAAAGAATCAATTCTCCTTTTCTTTTAGATCAATGTATAGCTATTGTTGGTATGACAATAAGAAATGTTTTGTTCTAGATTAGAGCTTATTTGCTTTTACTATCATTACGGCTTCATTCGATATGAGTAAACTGGCTCTTTTAACACATACACTACACTGCTGTTAATTAGCAGTCTCTAAGGATAGGAAGAAACTTTTCTAACGCTTCGAATAAAGTAGTTAAAAGTTTAACAAATTCTAATTAATTTAGAAATGATATTTAACTCTTCCGATCAATTATAGGTCCAAGTGGTTCCGGAAAATCTACAACGGTTCAATTACTAGAAAGATTTTATGATGTTGTAAAAGGACATGTGGTAAGATATGGATATTATAATTGCAGAATCAATTAGCCTATCGGTCTTGACAAATTGACGAATAATTACAGCTAGTATTTGTAAAAAAGAATGAACCCGTTTTCTCCGAATAATTCTTGTCCTCAGATAGCTATGGATTTGTGGTGGCCCAGATTAAATGACGGTGTTAGTATTTCGATTCTAACTTTTTTCGTATAATACTAAAGGGCTGATCTTTATTTCAAAGAATCGCCATCAAATTCTCTACCATACGACATAAGTTATAAAGTTCCATGATGTTCAGTAAAGACGTACACAAAGTCTTCCTTTTTCAATACAAAACTGGAAATGGTACAACAAAAATATCTGGAGATTAAATGTTTGTGTTGGTCTCCGAACAATCGAAAGGTGGTTAAAGCAGATCCGTACATAGGGACAATTGATAAATCAGCTCCACGAGGTCCTCCGTGTACTGTACGAACAATAGTAATGATACAAAAAACCAACCAAATGTTGGGTAAGAAGAAGGTGTCGGAAAGAGTTTTGGCTTAAGAATTGAAAGCATTTAAAACTTCAATTCATCGACTACTGAAAGAAGACTTAGGTTATCAACCTTATAAAATTATCAAACAACTGGCACTAATGAACAAAAGGTCAATCGGGCAAAATTCGCTAAATGGATCCAACATAATTTTATAAAGGATGATACCAGTAAATTGTAATTTTCTGGTGAGAAAAGTTTTGATATCGATGATGTTTACAACAGTCAAAACGATAGGGTGTAGGCATTCAGTCTGGCTGAAGCGAATAGAAACGTGGGGTGGTGAAGGCACGTAAATTTTCAACGAAAGTGGTGGTTTGATTCGATGCTTGTTCCAAAGATGTAACAACATTGATGATTCTCGATGAAGGTACCTTAAATCATGAATGATACATCAATGAAGTGTTACTCGTTGCTGTAAAATCGGACAACAAGATGTTAGGAAGTGATTGGACGTTTTAACAAGGTAATGCTTCGGCCCGCAAACATCATCTAACACGACAATGGTGTGTAGAATATTTTCCAGCATTCATATCGAAAGATCGTTGGCCAGCTGATTCACCTGATCTTAATCCATTAGATTATTGTCTGTGGAATAAATTGCGACAAAATATCGTCAAAATCAGCACTAATTGACGAGTTAGAACGTGGTGTCAAAAAAAGAGAGAAGAAGTTATTTTAGAAAGTGCTAATGATTTTACGAAACGATTGTATCGCCTTTTGGAAACCGATGGAGCTGTTCTTTCATAAATAAAAGACATCACTTTGCAGAAAATTTGATG